CGATTTATTTTTGGTACATATGTCGATCTCACACTGAGCATGCCGCGGCAGGTTGGCTTATAGCAGCGCTCGGAGCCTGCATGCACCTGGAGGCCAGCGACATTGACTCAGCTCAAGCTTGTACAACTCCGGGCGCGTTTGGAGCGCGTAGAGTGTGAAGTCTTGCACCCCTCGTCTTGGCCCCAAGTTTCAGGCAAGGCTTAGCAAGTTTACTTCGGTTGCGCTGGTGCGAAAGGCGCTGGTGCTTGCAGATGGGCGGCCGGAAGCCTTGCGGCAGTTCGGCGAGGTGGCGGCGGCTTCGGTGATTCGGCATTATTCGAGTGGGGTTGTTCAGAAGGATTCGCAGGGATGTCCATTTTTGAGAAACGAGAATGCCAAACAATAGAACACGTTCTTGTGTGTTTTCAAAGAGCAATACTCATAATATATATATATATATATATACATATATATATATATACTCATGTTGATGCCGATTAACTGGAATGGGGGTTGCAGTCAGAGGAGCTCTCTGAAAATGGATCGATGCCTATACGCCTCCTTCATTTGGAAAGGCTTATTGAAACAAGCAACAGTTAGACAGCTGTGGTTGGCGCGCTTGAGAGACGACTGAAATGAAATCAGTTGTCATTTGACAAGGTTTATCACGTTTAGACCCACTCCATCCCACTCCCAACCGTGCTGGGGTTGCAGGGCATACACTCGCGCCAGGAGAGGGCCCTTGGAGGGGGAGGGGGGGGGTGCCCACCCCGCAGGCTCTCGCCGCGCAGGTCCGCACGTGCCGCCTGTCAGCATCGGTTAAGGTGCTTTGGCCAGGTAGGGGAAGGCATCTCAGCCCAAAAAGCTGTTGCCGGTTTGCACTACTGTGGGAGCTCACATAGCCGACGTGGCCTTGAATTTGTCTCGGCCGAGTTGGGCAAGCCACGTCTCAAAGCTTGTTGGAAAGGGCCCAGATGTGGCCACCCAAAAACGAGACTCCACATGTCAATAGATGGTTTCGGAAAGACATAGCACAGCCCCCACAGGCCGTACGCCGCTGTGGCGGGCTCAATGTCGACTGTACGAGAGGATAACAGCAGCTCAAGCTCTGATTCCTTGCTTGTACTATAGGTTTGAGCATGATGCCAAGCCAAAGTATCTTCAAATTGCAGGGTGTTCCTTCGGGTTGCCTGCAGTAGCATCATGCAGCAACTCAGAGCTTCACCGTGTTCCAAGGGAACAAGCATTGTACGGGCAGACAGCGAGCTGGGGCCTCAGCTTGTCATCACGGGCTTACATCGAACGTAATTGCACAGGAAGCCAAAGCTTGCGTGCATGCGTTGGTGGGTGGGAGGGTGAGGGGTGGGAGGGGTGTGGGCGGAGAGGGGTGGGAGGGGTGTGGGGGGAGAGGGGTGGTGTTGAGTGGGGTGGTGTGGTGGGGTGGCTGAATGCGTGGGTGCGTGGCTGCGCGGGTGGGTGTTTGGGTGTCTCTAGTGTGTATTTGTGTGTGTGTCTGTGAGAATCATATCACAACCAGTGTGCTTGATCAGAAAGTCTCATAGCGGTGCAAGGCCATTGGGGCACTAGCCTCAATGGGGAGGAGTTCGAGAGCCGCACGCCATCTCCGCGCGGAGTCCGAGTCACCGAAGGTGCCCGGTGCCGGCCGAAGGGCCAGACCGAGGCCGCGCAGCACGGATCATTTAAAAATCGATTGCAGTGAACGTGGCGATGGATCTGGAAGATTGATCGTGTACACGGCGATCGCGTTGCCCGGGATGCGCCAGCTTCAGGGCACGCAGTTTGAACGCACTCGTTTGCGAGGTCCGAGCTGCTGTCGGAGGCCTGGCTTCGGAAGCAGGAGGCCCTCGGGGTTGGTCACTTTCAGGTTTTTCAAGGACCGATCCGCGGATTTGGTCGGGCATGGCGAAGACAAACCGTGAATTGCGGGGCAAGAGATGTCCCTTTGAAAGCTTGGGGAATCTATTGTAGTTGATCAGGGCTCCTTAAAAAATACATTTTGCCCATTTGAAACATGGCCTTTTCCACCAAAATAAAGGGAAACCACCATTGACAAGGCAATGTTCAGGTGTGTAATGTAATGATCCCTGTTGATCTCCCCAAGCTGGTACATGCCCGGCCATGAGCCGACAGGCTCTGGAACAAAGAAGCTGTCCATCACAATAGGCTTGCCGGGTCCCACAAAAGCAAACGAACTCCCAAATTATTGCTGGTCTGCACCAACAAGGCGTATTTGATAATTTTACGAATTGAGACAAGGTTATTACAACTTGAACCAGTTTTTGCAGGCAATTCTGATGTGAACTCGCAATTCAGAGCAACGAGCTCTGAAGAACCCCATCATAGGGTTGGGGCTCGAGGTGCCTGGCAAAATATTTGACAATGGGAAGGGTCGCCGAATTTCAGAATTGGACCCGTGCTGAAAAGGAAAGGGAGGGGTATTTATTTTAGGAATTTTTTTCGTTTTTTTTTGGGATTTTTTTTCGCTTTTGGCTTCTTGGCTTCTTGGCTTCTTGGCTTCTTGGCTTCTTGGCTTCTTGGCTTCTTGGCTTCTTGGCTTCTTGGCTTCTCGGCTTCTTGGCTTCTTGGCTTTTCGGCTTCTTGGCTTCTCGGCTTCTCGGGCTTCTGGGCTTCTTGGCTTCTTGGCTTCTTGGCTTCTTGGCTTCTTGGCTTTTCGGCTTCTTGGCTTCTCGGCTTCTGGGCTTCTAGGCTTTTCGGCTTTTTGCTGGTTTATGCGGCTTTTGGTGGCTTTTTGGCTTTTCGCATCCTCTGCATTCCCAGTTCCTCTTCGGCAGGTGGCGTTTTTCCGACATCATGGGGGGGGCTGCCGCCCCCCCCAACCCCCCCGCTACGTTTTAGATTTTCTGCAGAGATTTAATTAGTTGCACCCCCCCCCAACCCCCCCGCTACGTTTTAGATTTTCTACAGAGATTTAATTAATTGCACCCCTAATTGAATCATCAATTCTTCCAACCCCCCCGCTACTTTTTAGACTTTTTGCAGAGATTTAATTGCACCCCTGTTCGAATCATCACTACCCCGCTCTGTTTTTCTTAATGGTTTTTTTGTATTTTTTTTGCTGGGATTGAAATGCCCTCCTGTTTGAAGCATCATTGTTTTGACCCCGTCAACCCGCCAGCTACATTTTTGGATTTTGTTACCCACGATTTGTTGGTGATGCTAGGGATGTTGGTCGGACATGCGGGGGATGTTGAAAACGATGCTGGGGATGTTGACGAGCTAGTGTAAAATGCGTCAATTTCGCGAGAACATGCTGTAAAATACGACATTTTGCTGGCCCGGACGAAAAACGAAAAAAAAATCCCAAAACAAAACGAAAAAAATTCCCAAAATAAATCCGCACCCAAAGGAAAGGCAACCATGGCCCAAGGGGAACCCCTTGCAAGTGACAGCGTTCCGCACAGGCCAACACTTTCGACGGTGGCCGAGATATGAAAGCAGCGCGCCTTGCCGGCACTAGCTTTCCCAGCCGAGAATTCCACCGCTTTTTGGGGGCTTTAAACATTACCTTTTGGGTCGATTAAAGGTGAGTTTCCCTGTGTGGTGACGTTCTTTTAGCGGGATCATAGGGAACCCTAAATGAGATTCGCAACACAAGGAGCTGAGATTTCTATCCCCTAAATCAAGTGCCTATGGTTCCAGAGATAAAGTCTTTCGTGCAGGTCAATGGCCAAGCTCACGCTGAGTCAGGGGCCCAGAGTTGATTGGTCAAGGGCACATGTAGCCATTTGACCAGTAGAGCCGGCGAAGCTGGTTGGCGCAAGTTTCAAGAGTATACGAACTATAGTTATCTTCCGCTTCCTCTTCATTCATCTTATCTTTCTCTCCTTTTCTCTTTCTCTTTCTCTTTCTCTTTCTCTTTCTCCTGTCTTTCTCTTTCTCTTGTCTATCTATTCATCTATCTACCTATCTACTTACCTACCTGCCTTTCTGCTTACCTGTCAATTGGTCCATGTGTCTATCTCTCTATCTTTGTATCTATCCATCCATCCATCTATATCTATCTACCTGCCTACCTACCTACCTACCTACCTATCCTGTATACATCTTCCATCCTTCGACCGATCTATCCATCCATCTATCCATCTTTCCACCTAGATCTAGCTATCTATCTCTCAATATAGCTATCTATCCAGTACCTTTCGCTTCATTCATTTGTCTGCAGCAAACCGAGAGTGCGGCGCCTGCCACGAAATCTGTACCCAACTTTGCGAAAGCGCTGCGCCTGCCACGAAATTTGTACTTGACCTTGCGAAAGTGCTGCCTACCATGAAATCCGCATGTCACAGTTCGCGCACCCATTCCAATGGGATTTGCAGCAGCTGCTACTGCTACCGCTACTGCTACTACTAGTACTACTATTATTACTACTACTACTACTACTACTACAACTACCCACAGCACGGTGGTTCGCCCAGAAGCACTTTGTTGCACTTCCTGGTCGTTTTTCAGCCTTTGGCTTAACTTGCCCCATTTAGGGCTCAGGTTTTCGGTTTACTTGCCCTCAAATCCCCCTGTCTAGGGTTTAGTTTTGGGTTTAACTTGCCCTCAAACCCTCACTTTAGGGTTCAAGTTTTTGGTTTCACTTGCCCCCAGACCGCCCGATTCGGGTTTAGTCTTGGGGTTTAACTTGCCTTCAAACTTTCACTTTTGGGTTCAGGTTTAGGGTGCAGGTTGAGGTGCCCTCAAACCGCCCGTTAATGGCTTAGTCTTGGGGTTTAACTTGCCCTCAAATCCTCACTTTAAGGTATGGAGATGCGCAGTTGCGTGCATCGGCAAATGCTAGCCGATGTTCTAAGGGCAGACTGTTCGATATCAGGCGCGGGTGCAAAAAGCTGGCAGGCGCGAGGGAATCTGAGCGCGTGAGGCCCCCCCGGAAGAGAGCCTCCGGGCAAACCACAAGTGCTGGCCGTACTACTACTACTACTACTACTACCACTACTACTACTACTACCACTACTACTACTACTACTACTACTACTACTACTACTACTACTACTACTACTACTACTCCTGCTGCTGCTGCTGCTGCTGCTGCTACTGCGATTGCTGCTGTTGCTACTGCTATTTATTACTGCTACTACCCCATTCCTACTCATTACCGCTGCTACTACTACTACTACTACTACTCCTACTACTACTACTCCTGCTGCTAGAGCAGATCATGCCCCCAAAGCATACCCGCGAAGCATAAGCCTTCTGCCGGCCGCCGCCAAAAAAACGGGAACCCCATGTATGTTTCTATATATGTGATGTATACATTTATCTATGTACATATACACATAAATATCTATCTGTATTCATCTAACCCGCAACCCCCCTCCCCCCCCCATGCCATCCCCCCTTTCCCCCAACTTGTGGCGCCTGCTCGGTGGCATATCCAAGAAGCCCCCAACAGCCAGGACCCAAGACAAGCCAGCCAACCTCGAACCCTAAACCCCCAAACCACGAACCTGCAAATGAACCCCTACCAGACTTACACCAACCCTAACCCACCCAAACCCACCACACCACCGGAAACCCACCGAAACCAGCCCTAAATCAACTGCCTAAACCAACCTACACCAGCCATAAACCAACCCTGAACCAGCCCTAAACCAACCCTAACCCAAAGCCACCCAATCCTAATCCAGGCCTAACTCCCCCACCCTCCGCCGGAATCCAGCCAATGTCATGTTTTACCCGAACCAACTAAAATAACACACTACCAAGCATTAGTGCCCCAGCCCCCCTCTTTTTCATGGGGGCCTGCAGACTTGGACCATATATATATATATACACAAAAATATGAATGTGCATATCCTATATGTGCTTGTCCGCCGCCCTTTTGCTGACATTGCATTAATTTCATTTCCAGTCTTTGCATGGTTCACCAAAATTAGCGCCAGATATCTGCAAACAAATCACCTGCAATTCCTGCGTGAGTACAACCATCAGTCAAGGCTTGGGCAATTGTGTGTTTATATGTGTACATATATGTATATATATATATACACGGAAATCTAAGTCCTGAAATTTAGCATTGGATCCAAGATCCAAGATACCCAGAAAATCTTGGACTAGACCCTGCAACTGCTTCATCCATATCCTGAACTTAGAAATCTAAATCCTGCATTTAGATCCCTGGGTCCATACTTTCTGCATGTTTCATGGCGCCAGAAATGCGCAAGATGGCCCGGTAAAAATGATGGACATGCCTTTGCAGCAAGGCCTACCCGCCATGCAGTAGTGGCATTCCACCAATGTAGCCTGATTTGGCTGCTGTCAATCTTGAACAGGTCTTCATAAAATTGAAGATTGAAAATATCAGGGCTCTTGAAGCGCCAACCAAACAAGGGAGTTTCCTTGAAAAGAAAACTATCTAGGCCAACTACGAGTCAAGGTTTTGGATGGATCATTTATCATGGGTTCAAACACTCTGTTACACGCCCTTGCGCATCTAAATCCTGGGATTTAGAGTTGGATCCAAGATATCTAGGAATCAAATGTGTCCCAAGACGGTTGGGAGGTTCTTGCAAATCAGTTGGGGGGTTGGTGCAGGAGCAACAAATTTATACCCCCTAGTTCTAGTTTACAAGCCCCCTTGAAGTTCCAATGTTGCTTGAAGCTTGGTGACAAGAACTGCTTCAAGAGTCCAATGGCATTCGCAAGCTCATACGCTTGCGCAACGCCCACCTTTGATGGCAATCATCATGCGAAGGAAGAGGCTGCCAGTTGACCACATGGCATTCACAAAATGTCGACAACTGAACGGTTTGGATGGCCACGCAAGTCCTCCATATTGCAGGCATGTTTGCAAATGTTTGCCATGAGGCTGTTCCTTGGGTTGACGGGTTGATGTTCAAGCACCTGTTGCCCCCAAAACCAGCAAGCCTTTCAGATCTTCAACCTAACAACTCTGACGGAAACCTGAGTTTGGCTCCGAAGGGCCCCAAGAAGCCGCACCAGCCCTAACCCCACATCTACAGGAAGTCGCACTTGCACCCAGCCCAAAACCACCTCCCCTACCCAAGCCAGGCATAGACTACAGCACTTAAATATGTTCTGAATATCACAATATTTCCTGAACCGTGGCAGCTCCCCCCTACACCCAGTACCTTGAACAAGAAGGGCCGACACACACAGAACAAGTTGACACAATCTGGCCCGAAGACAAGAGTTTGAAGCTCCAAGCATAAACACACACGCAGGTGCTCAATGCCATTCTGCCAAGGCCGGCCAAGGAAAAAATAAGCTCTGAGGTAAGACCGAGTTTTACGACTGGAGCTTGAGAAACACCCTTATGAATCTTATGAAGCTCGGGCTTTGAGCCAAGGTTGGTGCTCAGTCTACAAGCAGATGGTGGTTACCGGAACTTCCGGGCCTGTGGAGAAATCGGTGCTTCACTGATGACCTTGAGTGTTGTGGTTGGACATGTTGAGCCGTGAGCCACGAAGTTTGGTTGATTGCCGGCCTCGCAGCTGTTGCATGTAATTCGACGCCAGGGCTGAGTCAGGGCAATTCATGGAAGTAGAACAAACAAGAGCTGCTTCAAGATTTGAGCTTGGCTGTGCTAAGAAGCGTTCGTGATCAAGTGCATCCCCGAGTGATTCAGACAAAGATATGTGAGTATCGTGTCCTTGAATCAAGCTGGAAAGCTGACACGGCTGGGGCAGCACGGGTGCCAATAGTCGAAGGGTCTGCCTCATGAAAGCAGTGGAGGCAGATGAGTGAAAGCAGAACTTGACATGCGCAAACAGCAACTGTGTTGCCCTACCTCTGTTTGCCGTACCAGTTCTTGATGCCCCTCATGTGTCCATGCATCAGAAGAAGCTGTGCATCAGCGTGAAGAGTATGTCGCGCACAGGCAAGATAACGATGGGAACCTCATCCGAGAGAAATCGTGCTGAGATTACATCGTTGAGGCAGAAGACGGCTCGCCATGCATGGTGACTGAAGTTGGCATTCGTTGGCTACCTGGCAGTTATTTTCAGCTTGCCAAGAAATAGCTTCTTTCAGAGTTTGCTTGGTACCGGTGGCAAGAGGTTTTGCTAGAAGTTGAGCTATTCATTGGGCTCGCTTTCGGCTTGCGAGCTGCCAAAAACGGAGTGAGCCTTTGACGCGAAGTTTCCACCAGGCAGGAGATCTCCTCGCTCTTGACGGCGAACGGGCGCTTGCACCAACACCTGGGACAGCTGAATGGTTGCTCGGTGTGACGGCCTGGGAGAATTAAACGTCTCTCTTTGGGGAATTGAACGAGACTCAAAACGAACCTCAAGGGACTTGATTGAGCAACACCCCTCCTCAACAAGCAATCAGGGGCATTTTGCGACGTAGGAAGCCTGAGATTCGGCTTTGAATGGCACCTGGGCGACAGGTTACTTGCCTGATGGGGCTGAGCAGCAGGCTGACTTGACAGGCTGGAGCAAGCTGAAGCCCAGCATTGATGTAAATATGTCCCATGATCAGAACACCGTTTTGCTGGAATGCTCCAACAGGATAAGGGTCTACGACAACTATTTGGTAGGACTGTGCAAACATCAGGGTAAGGCTTTCGATGAAGGGAACCATGACCATGATCAACGCAAAGAAGCACCTTTGATCATTTTGTTCACAGGTCAGGTGCCTTAGATGTGACTCTCTGCAGCATGGTATCAGTGCGGCAGGTGCTCCTGGTGTTGGATTCGCGCCGGAGGCTTCTTGGGGTGGCGACTGGCCCTTTCGATGAGAGCATACCATGATTTCCGGCATCATCCACAGTGTGCACATTGTCATTTGTAAGCTTCCTGCTGTCAAAGTCAAAAGCGCTGCATACGCGACCTGCGGCAAATCAGGTTTCCCGGTGTTCTCCCATGTTTCCTTTTGACGCCTTGAATGAACAGGCATGCTTTTCAATCAGCAAACTCGGGCGTGAGACAGCGAAGCAAAACATGTTGGCATGACGCCCATCGTTTGCTCGGCCGTAAAATTGAATGTTTTGGAGCATGTTGAATTCACTGCTTGGATCAGTGCCAGCACACCCGCCTTGAGATGCATGACTATCAGATGCATGAAGTAGCCCGGACGGAAGTCTCTGAGATTGCCATGAATATGGTTGTTGTTGGCTAGGCAAAGAGCGATATATTCCCCTACATTCACATGTTGCGTTTTTGGTGGCAAACATATTGCTTTTTGTGCCAGTGTAAAGTGAGTTGCGGATTGAAATACAGCAGGTCTTCAGCCAAATGGCTTGGCAATGGATGAGTGATGTTGGGTTGAAGGTAACCGGGATTTGGACTGCAGTATTAAAGGCGCAGGATGAGCCATGTGCGAAAACCCAGCTTAATCTTCATTCTGAGTTCACTACCAAACTGTATCAGGCACGAAGCGAACGCCGATCATGGGAGGCAGGGTGGTGTGTGTGTGTAAGTGGGCTGGTGTGCGTTTGTTTGCTCGTCTCGGTTGTTGCGTCTGTTGCTGTCGCCTTCTCTGTCTATATGTGTTGTTGTTTGTGTGTTACTTGTGCGTGTGTGGTGCTTGTGTTCGTGTTTGTGGTTGTGGCTGTGCGTGTGTGGTTGCGGTTGTGACGTGGGTGCGAGTGTGTGTGTGTGTGTTGTTGGTGTTGATTGTGGCATTTGTGTGTGTGAGTGGTGCTGTTGCTGTTGTTGTTGTGGTTGTGGTTGTGGTTGTTGGGGTTTTTGGGCTTGTTGGTTGTTTTTTGTTGGTTCTTAATTTTGTTGTTGGTTGTTGGTTGTTTGTTTGTATTTTTGTGCTTGTTGTTTGTTGTTTGATGTCGTCGTTGTCCTTGTCCTTGTGCTTGTCGTTGTTGTCCTTGTCCTTGTCCTTGTCCTTGTCCTTGTGCTTGTCGTTGTTATCGTTGTCGTTTTTGGCTCTGCTTGCTGCTGGTGCCGCTGCTGCTGCTGCTGTTGTTGTTCTTGTTGTTGTTCTTGTTGTTGTCGTCGTCGTCGTCGTTTTTGGTGCTGCTTGCCGCCGCCGCCGCCTCCGCCGTTGTTGTTGTTGTTGT